CCATCTATATGATACGAAAAAAAATTCCTAAGTATGTCATTGGATGTAAACTTGACATATATAGCCAATTTTGAGCAAGCATGTGATGTTATGGAATTAAAAGACAAGGAGCCTTACCTGATTAGGATTGAATTAAAAGAACTGAAACACATAAAAGAACTAAAAGAAAAAGAATATGAGGGAGAGTTAAGAGAAGTGAAATATTAGAGATAAATAAAAGAAAAAGAATGGAAACATGAGAGAGAATTCAGAAGAGAATATGAGGGAGAGTTAAGAGAAATGCAGCTTAAGAGACAGTTGAGAGAAAACAGCAGCATAGCAGAATTTTTTTATAAAAGGAATATGAAAAGAAGTTAACAGAAATTAAATCACAGTATAATGATAAGACAATCATTGAGAACTGGCAAGTTTCAAAGGATAAAGCTGGTGAGGATAAAAATGTTCGGCCCTGGTACCATGATAAAAATAAAACAGAGAAGAAAAATTATGGGTTGAGAGAGTGCGACTTTGAAGTGAATAAGAGAAGTAACTGGACTAAAGAGAGTCACCCAGATCTGAATTATAGAACATGTTATGAATGTGGTAATCAAGGACATTTAAAATATAATTGTCCTATGTTAAACAATAAAGAAATAAAGTCAGGGTCAAAACCAGAATATTGTGTAAAAATAGCCAAGCCTACAGAGAGAAGCTGTTACCACAGGGAGAGTTCAGAGACTACAGTTGTCATGGAAATGGCAGTTGAGAGAGTAATTGACTCTGCAAGTTCACAGATACCAAGAGCTTGTTTATTTGTATCAGCTGGCCCACAAGAGATAAACGGCACCCATAGCCAGAGACCTGAAGATTAGATTGCCATGGAAACAAAAGGCAGTGACAGAAAGCCAGAGATTCAAATGAAACAGTTACCTGGACAAAGCTTGGTTGATACAACAAGGAAGTTAGAACAGTTAGAGAATACAAAGAGCTCAGTTAAAGAGAAAGACCTTTTAAATAAAGAACTGAGTAAATAGCTGTTACTCACTGAACAAAAGCTGGATAAAGTCTTAATAGAGTGCAATATCTATAGACTGGAATGTGCAGAACAGGAAGAGAAGTACAATGACTTAACAGAAAAAGTGGATGGTTTAAAAGAAAAGAATAAGAAACAAGATATTTCAATTGCACAAATGAAACTAAAAATTAAACAGAAAGATGAAGTTATTTGTACACGTGAGGAAAAGGTAACTGAACTGGAGTCAGAAAACCAGTCTTTACAAGGCCTTATGGAA